CCTTCTGCTTCATCTCTTCCTCCTTCTGCTTCATCTCTTCCTCCTTCTTCATCTCTTCCTCCTTCTTCTTCATCTCTTCATCTTTTTCTTTCAGTCGTTCTCTAAGATCACCGTCTATCTCCATCTTCTGTTTCACAGCCTGCAGTTCAGCCTGAAGTGTTGAAACCCTCTCGATGTTGGCTTTGGTGAACGTGTCCTTCGTAAAGCGTTTGGACCCTTCAGAGGACATTTTGTCCACGATCTCCAACAGTTCTGGGATCTGCTTCTTGTCCTTGATGTTGAGAACAACAGATCTTCCTCCATAGCTCTGACAGAGCTCCTGGATGTCCTTGTTCTTCTGGATGAAGGTAACATCAGCTGGAGCTGCAGGGTCTGAGTCCACAGTGAACAGAATCACGGTGAAGTCTTGGACTCGAGAGCTGAACGTGTCCTGGATGATCTGTAACTCTCCCTTGTCTTCATCAGTGAGGGGACCCACAGGTAGGACCAGGATGAAGGCATGGACCCCCTCAGGATCACAGAGGGAGACGCACCTGAGTGATTCCTCCATCACTTCCTCATGTGGTTTCTCGTACAGAGGAGGCAGCTCCAGCACAGAAACCCAACGTCCACACACCTCCCCCTGATGATGAACACACTCTGAAGGTCTGGAGGCTGGATGAAGATCTTTCTGACCTAAAATGGCTTCAGCTGCTGAAGTCTTCTCTTCTCCTCGGCTCCCAAACAGAACCAGGTTTCTTTTTGGTTTTACCATCATGGTCAAACCTGCTTCATCGTGGACCCCGGCCTCAGACACTGAAAGAAATGCAGGTAAAGTTGAATCAGGTTGTTGTTGTTGTTGTTGTCTTTAGCAGCAGTAAATAATTATCGTTTTCTCACAACTGGACTCATTGAATGAGTCTAACTTTAACAACAGGAACTGAGACGAGCTCCTGATGAACACCGTCATGACCAAGCTTCTATTTTACGTCTGTTTTAGAGTTTTGATACAGTTTTCTAAAGGCTACATACGGATTTTGTTAAAAAATAAATTAAACACTTTTGTAAAAAAACAACTTTAAAAAATATATAATTAAAATATTTTCCCTCCACTTCACCACTGTGCCATCCTGCAATAGATTCCTGAAACACTAAATTGTTCTGAATCTGAACTTTGTTGATTATTTGTGAAAGAGTGAAAATGTCTAATTCTAAATACGACCAATTCTTTTATTTTCGAGTCTAAAAACAGAATAAAGAGTTAGAACTTTGTAAAATACAGAATCTGTTCAAGTGGTTTAAGACAAATAAAATCTGTGATGTTTTATCAAAAAGGTTTTTTTTAAACTTAAGTTAAAAAGTAAAAGTATATATGTAATGATAAAAGTGATTTATCTTGAAACTTTCTTCATTGTTTTATGTTATAATTAAAAAAAAAACTAACAGGGAGCCTTGATTTTTTAAATTTTATTTACTGTATTTTAAAACATTTTCCGATATTTCAGACAAAAATAAACTAAAAAGGAGTTGAATTTTATGATTTTAGCTGCAAACAAAAACTGATCAGTCAATTAAGGAGCTTCATCTTTTTATTTTTATAAATTAAATCGTTTTAGTTTTTGGGTGAAATGAACATTATTTTTTTAAGTTTGATGTTTTCTGCTTTTCTCCAGTTTAACACAAACTGGTTCAGTTCCTGCTTTGAGAATAAAAACAAACATATTTTTAATTAACCTTTATTTCACCAGGCAGATCCCACTGAGATCCCAGATCTCTTTTGCCTGAAGCAGACTAACTGGTCTGTGGGAGGAAACCAGAGTACTTGGAGAAAACTCACACATGCACGAGAAGAACATGCAAACTCCACACAGAAAGACCTCAGGTCCAACCGGGGATTGAACCCAGGACCTTCTAGCTGTGAGGCAACAATGCTAACCACTGAGCCATCGTGCTGCCATAAACCTCCACGTTGGTCAGATTGTCCAAAAACTGCAGTTTGTTTCTGTTCTGCAGCTCCAAACAGCAGGTGCAGAACAAACAGATTATTCTGACCCACTTCGGAGTTACTCACTGTTTGGGTGCAGGATTTCACAACTCTTAGACGCCTTCAGTGGCTGCAGAGCTTCTGCCACTGCAAAGACACAAAACATTTAGCTCATCATGAAGGAACGGACTGTGTTTTATCAGTTATGTTCAAATGTTCACTAAAAGTCAATAAATATAGATCCAATTTGAAAACTAACAACCTTTAAAATGCTAAGAAGCTTTTAAAAAACTGTTGGACTCACTGGTGACGTAAAGATGTGCAGCTCCTGCTGAGGCTCAGAGGTTTCTGGCTCGTCCCTCCTGTCGCAAAATAAAACATATTTTAATTAATAGATCAAAATATTTCACACGGTCTCTTCCTGAAAACTTAAATAGACTTCAGGTTGTGTACGTTCAAAATATAATCGTGTTCTGTTTTCTCGAGACACATCAGATAAAGATGTCTGAGGTCGTGCTGCAACAATGAGGACTCTCAGACTCCCTGGTCAAATCTATTCAGCCGTACAGGAGAAGTGAGTCTGATCGTTGGTGGAACCTCAGGTCCATTAGGCAACATGCTGGATCCGTTCTGGCCGAGGAATGCTGGACCAGCTCTTTACCCTCACCAGGGTCCTCAAGGGATCACGGGAGTTTGTCCATCCAGTCTAAATGTGTTTTGTGGACTTGGAGAAGGCGTTCAACAGTGTTCCTCGGGGTAAACTGTGTGTGTGTGTGTGTGTGTGGGGGGGGGCTCCATGAGTATGGGATTAGGGTCCTGTTGTTACGGGCTGTTCAGACCCTATACAAGCGGTGCAAGTCGGACCCCTTCAGGACTCCATGAGGACTTCTCGTTGCCTCTGATTCTGTTCTGAACAGCCAGGGGGTGGAGGGAGTCCAGTTCAGTGGACTCAGGATCCATCTCTGCTCTTTGCAGATGATGTGGTCCTGTTGGTGTCATCGTGCTGTGATCTCCAGCTCTCACTGGAGCAGTTTGCAGACGGGTGTGAAGCAGCTGGGATGAGGACCAGCACCTCCAGATCTGAGGCCATGGTCCTCAGTCGTAAAAGGGTGGATTGATCTTCAGGTCGAGGGTGAAGTTCTGCCTCAAGTGGAGGAGTTCAAGTCTCTCGGGGTCTTGTTCATGAGTGAGAGAAGAATGGAGCATAAGACTGACAGACAGATTGGTGCAGCACCTGCAGTATTGCAGACTTTGTACTGGTCCGTTGTGGTGAAGAGCTGAGCTGTAAGACAAAGCTCTCTGTTCACCAGTCAGTCTACGTTCCTCCCCTCACCTCTGGTCATGAACTCTGGGTAGAGACAGAAAAAAATGAGATTGTGGATCCAGGAGGTGGAAATGAGTTTCCTCTGCAGGGTAGCTGGACTCTCCCTCAGAGACAGGGTGAGAAGTTCAGGAGAGACTTGGGGTAAAACCGCTGCTCCTCCACAGAGGAGCCAGTTGAGGTGGTTCGGGCATCTGGTAAGGACGCTCCATGGACACCTCTCTAGGGAGGTGCCTCAGGCATGTCCAACTGGGAGGAGACCCCAGGGAAGACCCAGGACATATTGGAGACACTATGTCTCTCTGTTGGCCTATAGGAACACCTTGGAGTCCACCCAGAAGTGTTGGAAGAGGTGGCTGTGGAAAGAGATGTCTGGACCTCCGTGCTCCAGATGTTGCCCCCGAGACCAGACTTTGGAACAAGCGGAAAAGAATGGATGGATGTTTTTTAAATTCCAGAATCAGCTTTCAGGAGCTTCTCACTGCAGAAGAGAATCTCCATCAGTCGGGACCTCCAATGAGAGGAGCAAAGTTTGGGAGGTACTCATAGAAAACCCACACGTGATGAGGAGAACATGCTAACTCCACATAGAAACCCTCATTTGGGAGTTGAACCTAGGACTGTTGCTGTGAGGCGCCAGTGTTAACCACCTGTTCCACCATTCAGCCAGGTACGGTTAGGCGTTTTTATTGTACTTTATTATTGTGGCTGAGAACTTTCTTCCCTTCTGCCCTGAGAACAAGGAGACTGGTTGTTTCTCAAAACAGCTTCTTATCTTGAACTAAAGGAGGTCTCTTTGATGCCCATGAACCATATGTTTGTGCAAACAGAGTGCAGTGTGAGGCTGCAGCTGGCTTCAAGGACAGCTGCAGAACTTCACCTCTGCTGAGCTGAAAATGTTATAAAAGTGAGCAGATGCCGCGGCTCATTTCTGTGACTGGTCTTCATCCAACAGTTGTGTGAAATGAAAAACATCTGGAGACTCTTACCAACATCTGCAGCTTCAGATAAACGAGTGTTTATCTCGTCTTACAGCAGCTGACTGGTCTCACCCGGTGGTCCAGCAGCTTCCATGCTGCTGCTGAGAACGTGTTCTTTTTGTGTCCAGATGTGAACGATGTCTTTATTTTTGTTGAACCCGTTAGTCTGGATCAGATGACCCGGTTAGCTGATCTCCTGATGCAGAGAAAACATGAATGAAAGATTAGTTACAGTTACATGAATCAGTTGGTTGAGTTATGCACCACTGGTCTAATATGTCCATCCACCCCTTGATCTCTGCCACCACAGAGCTCTTTAACGACCTTGGCAGCCTCAGCCCAAGTTATGGATGAACCAACCACCAAGTCCTCCGACTCTCCTGGCCCTCCTTGGAAGGTGTGCTGGTGGGATTGAAGAGGTCCACAAAATGTTGCTTCCACCGTTCAACAACGTCACTGGTTGTGGTCACCAGCACCCCACCTCCACTACAGTGTTGGTAAAGTGCTGCTTTCCCCTCCTCAGCCACCTGATGGTTTTCCAGGATCTTCTCAGATCTGCCTCTGGAGTCCTACAGCCAATAGGACTCCTCCTTCAGCTTGATGGCCTCCCTCACTCAGGTGTCCATCACCTGGGTTCATGAATGGCCACCACGAGAAGAACTGACAGCCAGTTCGAAGCAGCCGTCTCGACTTTAGAGGCTGGGAACATGACCTACTCCTACTCAGTGTTCTCTGCCTCCACTATGGTGCAGATGAGCCTTTGGACAAGTTCTTCTACCAGATGTTCCCAGCAGTCTCCTCACTACATGGCTGGATCTACAGGATCTGCTTGGTATCTTACCCCATCATTTGATCCAACCCTTCCTCAGCTGCTGAACCGTTGACAGCTCAGCTCCTCTCACCTTCAAACCATGACATGCACAACCCACAGGCCGGGTGGGGGGGGGTGGGGGTGGGGGGCTGTAAGTAGACCCACACCCGCCTGGCCCCTCTCCCAGAGGCAACTCCAGAGCAGTAGAAGGTCCAGCTCTTCTCAACAGATTGCTTCCAGAGCCCATACCATGTGTTGCGATGATCAGTCCATTGATTAAAGCTCCACAGGAAGTTGGTTAAAGATAAAACAAAAGTAAATGATCACTTCCTGTCTGTCAGCTGACATCACTCACCTGCGCAGGAGACGTTCAGATGTTTCCTGGAGTCTGCTCATCCTGAGCCGCTGAAGAAAAGTCCTGTTGATTCAGGTTTCCAGCTGTTTGCCTCCATTTCAGTTCGAGTCCAGCTCCGTTAAAGTCAGCTGATCTCTCCTCCAGAGGTTTTACTGCAGGCAAGAATCAAAACGTCCAGATTAAAATCCAACGTGTTTGTTGTTGTTTTGTTTGTTGTTGTTGTTTCTCCTCATCTGAAAAATAAAAGACCTCTCAAATGGCACAGCTGGGACTCAAGACGTGTTTAAACCTGCGCTCGACAGGAGTTTTACTCTCATTCACTCT